TTGATTTTTTACAGAGAGGAAGGGAGAGGGATAGAGAGTTAGAAACATCGATGAGAGAGAAACATCAATCAGTTGCCTCCTGCACACTCCCCACTGGGTATGTGCCCACAACCAAGGCACATGTCCTTTACCGAAATCGAACCTGGGACCCTTGAGTCTGCAGGTCGACGCTCTATCCACTGAGCCAAACCGGTCAGGGCAGGATTTTTTATTTTTAAGTGCTATTATAACAAGTAGTACTGACACTAACTTCCTGGAGTTGGGTTGTGTTGATGGGCTGAGGGCACGGTCCTGCCACTTCAGGCGTCAGCTGGGAGTCCTGGACTTCTCAGGTCACAGCATTTCTGAACAACTTGCTATAAATTCAGGTGTTTCCTCCACCCACTCAGGTTCAGTAATATCTAGATTGACTCCCAGAACTCAGGGAAGTGCTCTACTTATGATTCTAGTTTTATCAGAAAGGATACAAATCGGGACCAATCAAAGGAAGAGATCTGTGGGGCGATGTCAGATAGGGCGTCCTCAGGCTGTGCCCGCTGCCAACACATCGATGTGTAGCACAGCCGGGTAAGCTCACCTGAGCTTCGGGGAGCCAGCATTTTTATCGGGGCTTCCTCACAGACAAATGATGATTGTATCATTGGCCATGTAATTGAATTTAATTTCCAGACCACCTCCCTCCCTGGAGATAGGCAGGCTGGGCTAACGTATCACATGGCTCAAAGCCCCACCCAGTCTTCTAATCACATGGTTGGCCTTTCCAGCATGGCCAGCCCCCATCCTGAAACTACCTAGGGGCCCACCGGAAGTCACCTGGCTAGCGCACACTCAGGTAGTTTCAGGGCCCGCCATGAATGACAGAGTTATTTTTGTCACTTGGGAAATTCTAAGGGTTTAGAGCAGTGGTTCCCAACGTGGGGCACACGCCCAACAGGGGGGCAATTTGATGTTTAAGGGGGGCAATTCAAGAATGAGTTATTAACTATGAATTTTTTGCATTTCGTATGGTTCTAGGGGCCTCATATATTGTAACATAGTTATGCATTTCAGTTCTCTATTATATGTTTTGGAACTTTATTTGCTATTTTTTATATCACTTCATATTATTATTACTTTTTAAACAATTTCTTAGTGATTTCTTCCTCAGTCCTTCCACTGTCCTTTCAATCTTTCATTTTTCTTTCTCATGGATGCCATGTTCTTTGGAAGCTTGTTTAGGCCAAGTTCATGGCCTTTGAGGCTTCCTCCACGTGGATAGGAGCTCACTTTTTGAATAATAAGAATTATATGTCACGGGGGTGGGGCTTAATGCTACACTTTGAAATGTACCTGAAAACTATACTATAAAGTTAGTTTCATCAAAATCTTCACACTTAGCCCTAACCGGTTTGGCTCAGTGGATAGAGCGTCAGCCTGCGGACTGAAGGGTCCTGGGTTCGATTCCGGTCAAGGGCATGTACCTTGGTTTCGGGCACATCCCCAATAGGGGGTGTGCAGGAGGCAGCTGATCGATGTTTCTCTCTCATCGATGTTTCTAACTCTCTAGCCTTCTCCCTTCCTCTCTGTAAAAAATCAATAAAATATATTTTTTTAAAAATCTTCACACTTTAAAAAATATATATATTTTTATTGATTTTAGAGAGGAGGGGAGAGGGAGAGAGAGCTAGAAACATCAATGATGAGCGAGACTCATTGATTGGCTGCCTCCTGCATGTCCCACACTACGGATGGATCCCGCAAACTGGGCATGTGTCCTGACTGGGAATCGAAATGTGACCTCCTGGTTCATAGGTTGACACTCAACCACTGAACCATGCCGCTGGGCAAAATCTTCACACTTTTAAGTGAGAGCAATTACACATAAAACAAGAGGACTTGAGCTTTCAATAGGAATATGGGTATAAGGCCATTTATTTAGAATGAAACAAACACTAAATTTAAAGAGATCATGCTGCTCAATATTATGGATGACAAATTATGGTTTGAATCATGGCAGTGCTTGGGTGGATTCATGTGTACTTAGCACGTTTACAGACTGATTTGTTTATGGAATTTCTTAAAGAAATGACCTTTGTTTCTTCCTCTTCAGGGATTTTAGCCATCGGCTTAATTAACGAAGCCCTGGACGAAGGAGATGCCCAAAAGACCCTGCAGGCCCTGCAGATTCCTGCAGCCAAACTGGAGGGCGTCCTGGCAGGAGTGGCCCAGCATTACCAAGACACGCTGATCCGAGCAAAGAGAGAGAAAGCCCAGGTGAGTGGCATCAGAAGGGTCGCTTCTGTTCTAGAACTTCCTCCCTCCAAGCACCAAGATACAGGAGTGACGCCTCCCCTGATCCCTCAGGGGCTGCTCCCGGGCACCTCACGCTCAGAGCTCTATAGGGACACAGGGGTGAGGGACATAGACTCTATCTCTTGGAAGCTTTGCTATTTTACACATTTGGCTTTTTGTTGTTGTTGTTGCTGTTTGTCAACACATCTCCCTGTCTCTGAGTAAATGCATTGAAATATGAGACCCCAAAATGCATAACTCAGCCCTAGCTGGTTTGGCTCAGTGGATAGAGTGCTGGCCTGCGGACTGAAGGGTCCCGGGTTTGATTCCGGCCAAGGGCACATGCCCAGATTGCAGGCTCAATCCCCAGTAGGGGCCATGCAGGAGGCAGTTGATCAATGATTCTCTCTCATCATTGATGTTTTTATCTCTCTCTCCCTCTCCGTTCCTAAAATTAATCCTATATAATAAAAGCCTAATATGCAAATCGACCAAACAGCGGAATGACCAGTCATCAGCCGTGAGCCCGGCTTCTGGCTGAGCGGCGCTCCTGCTGTGGGAGCACACTGGCCACCAGGGGCAGCTCCTGCGTTGAGCGGGATCGGGCCGAAACAGGCTCTTTGACATCCCCCGAAGGGTCCCGTATTGCGAGAGGGCGCAGGCCAGGCCGAGGGACCCACTGGTGCACGATCGGGGCAGGGGAGGGACACAGGAGGTTGGCCAGCCAGGGAGGGACCTCGGGAGGGCTCCAGGGCGTGTCCGGCCCGTCTTGCTCAGTCCCGATCAGCTGGACCCCAGCAGCAAGCTAACTTACTGGTCAGAGCATCTGCCCCCTGATGGTCAGTGCACGTCATAGTAGCGGTTGAGCGGCCTTAGCATATCATTAGCATATTACACTTTGATTGGTTGAACAGACGACTGGACACTTAGCATATTAGGATGATCCATGTAAGTTTTAGTTCATCATGCCACAGAGGATTGTGTTTTTTTTAAGCAGGCTTATTGAGATATAATTCATTTACCATATAGCTCATCACTTTAAAGTGTATAATTCAGTGGTTTTTAGTCTGTTTACAGAATTGTGCAAACATCACCATAACCAATTTTAGAGCATTTTCATCATGCCCAAAAGAAACCCAGCACTCATGGTCACCACTCCTCATTTCCCCTCAATCTCTCCAGCCCCAGGCAGCTACCAGTTTACTTTCTTTGCCTGTTCTGGACGTTCAGTATAAATGGAATAATGCAGTATGTGGTTCTTTGTGACTGGCTTCTTTCACTTAGCTTGGTTTACCCAAGTTGTAGCATGTGTTAGTACTTCATCTCTCTTTTAAAAAAAATATTTTTATTGATTTCAGGGAAGAAGGGAGAGGGAGAAAGAGATAGAAACATCAATGATGAGAGAGAAAAAAAATGATGAAAGAGAATCATTGATCGGCTGCCTCCTGCATGCCCCCTATTGGAGCCCACAACCCGGGCATGTGCCCTTTACTGGAATCGAACCCGGGACCCTTCAGTCTGCAAGCCGATGCTCTATCCACTGAACCAAACCGGCTAGGGTTACTTTATCTCTTTTTATTGTTGAATAATATGCCATTGTTTGGAATATTGTTCCATTAATGAGTTGATGGAAATATGGCTTGTTTCCACTTTATGGCTATTGGAATAATGCTGCTCTGAACATAAAAGTTTCCCAAAGTAATTGTAACACGAACCCATCTTTTAAAAAGTTTGTCTTGCCTCTCAGCTAGTTTGTTGAAGAAGTGGACAAGATTTATACCTCTGTTTATGCTGTTGCTGAGCAGGGAGTTAGTTTGTGTGTAGTCGGCCCTCAGATATTAGTTGCGTGATGAAAGCATCGTTACCTCTGTTTCTCTAATTGTCATTAGTCTCTTTTTAAGTTCTTCCTAACTAACAGCAATTATGTAGGGAGGACCACAACTTTTTTTTTTAAAACTTAGAAGATCCCTCCAGTGAGGTTCTCATAGCAAGCAAAGAGCTGAAGGAAATTCTTAATTCAGGCTGTTAGATTCTTTCTGGGAATCCAAATATAGAAAAGCAGGCCAAAGCATCGGTGTGATTGCAGCTTTTGTACACCAACCCCCATGGGTTAGGGGTGGAGGAGTTGTGGGTGATATTATGATGTTGATAAATCTCCTTTGATTCCCTTGTCATTAGAGTAGTTAACATCACCATGTCCTGATCATGTAAATGCAGCCAGCACTGTGCTTCATATAAGAGGCACTTTAATATGCTGAGTGTCAGTTGATCCTGTGGTGAGGGTTGAATCATAACTCCCGTTTTGTAGCCAGGAAATTGAGACAAAGGAATCAATGATGTTACTCACTCAGGTGAGAAGCAGTTGGCTGTGGGGAAGTTATCAATGGAGGGCTCTGTCTCTAATAATCAACTTGGGATCAGTTGGATCAGTTCTTCCCAAACATTTTTTTAAAATATATTTTTATTAATTTCAGAGAGGAAGTGCGTGGGAGAGAGAGAGACAAACATCAATGATGAGAGAGAATCATGGATTAGCTGCCTCCTGCACACCCCCTACTGAGGATCGAGCCCACAACCCGGGCATGTGCACTGACTGGGAATCAAACCGTGACCTCCTGGTTCATAGGTCGATGCTCAACCACTGAGCCATGCC